ACGTGTCATAAATATTAAAATTAATGTTAATTTTTTTGTTTTCATATAAATTAATGTATAAAAATATATATATATATAATTCTTTTAATTTGTGTCAAGTTAACCAAATCAATATATAAATTTATGTTTTTATAAACTATTTCAAGAACCTAAATAGTATTAATGTCATTTAGTTGATTATATTGTCAATTTTAAAATTCTATTCAAGAAATAAGATGCACTCAGTAAAATTTTTACCTTTAGTGTAAAGTTTAGATTAGTCTGCTTATTTTTTTTAATGAGTTCTTTCAATTTTTAAAATAATCCTAAAATGTTTTAGTTATTTTGTAATAAGTTTATTGAATATTAATGAAGTATCAAGTTTATTAGTTTTTTTTAAGAGTAGAAATATGATTTTGTATAACGTTTTATGTGTGAGAAGAAATTTAAAGTAAAAATCAATTGAGATATAGCCAAGTTCTAATTTTATTAGTCTTTAATATGCTCTTTTTCTCTTGTATTCCTTTTTCTTGCTAAATTTGTAAAGCAACGGTTTTACAAACTTAATTTTACAAGGCATTCTAATTTAACTATTTATTTTCTTCTTCGCTAATAAATTTCTAATTTACAAGAATCTACCCCCTTCGATTTAAATTCTAAATGAAAACATTTAATTTACATTGACAATAATTCCCGATACTCATGGGAATATGAACAGGGGCATTTTTGTCCCATAAAAAATCCCCCGCAAGGATCTGGTGAGGATGGAGATGAGAAGCGTGTCTTAGGCCTGTTGGGAACCTTTACCATCCCAGTTCTTTTGAGTCCAACTTGGTATACTTAGCATATCATAAGAGATTAGAGCGTTTGGTTTTTTGTCAATTTGCTTGGAGAGATTTTGATGCAGTTCCTTCTATTTTGCAAAAACCCAAAAACAAATGACTGGAAATTTCAGCTACGGTTATGGACTTATGGTTACTTTTCAATTGGTTAAGGCCACTAATAAGTGTTAAATTTTTATTTTAATTTAATTATTAAAAATAATGAATAATATATTTAATATTTATTTTAATTAATATTTAATATATTTTAAAATAATAAAAAAATATAAAAATAAAAAACTAAACAACAGGCAAGCATTTCAAAACGAAGTCAACGAGAGGTACACAAGTGATAGATGAGCATCTCTTTGGCACAAACTTACACACTCACGTGATCTTAATTTTCCTTTAAATTTAAATTACTAGGAGTATCAGGATTTATTTCGATCACGTGATGTTGATTCTGATTTTGATCTTCCTGTCATAACCCAATTTTTTATCGAGGGACTAAATGATAAAATTAGAAGTCAATGGATTGTTTTTGTAAAGCTGAAAACTTGAAGGGGTTAAGAAGAGGAAATGGCAAAAAGACGTCGTTTTGCCAATGGGTTAAAACATAAAAGGCTGGGTTTTTCAGTTGAACCCTAGCCTCCCTGTTTTTTTTCTGCCGCACCTCCCTTCTAATCAACTCCGACACGATGCCAAAGGGATATTTTTTTGAAGATAAGTTCAGCCAATCGAAGGATTTGGATAAGAACGTACAAACCATAAGTCATCAACTCCAAAGAGTCCGAAATTGTTTCAAGGTGGGAGTCCTAATGCATAAAAGGTATGAATTTAGACTTTAAATGGGGTAAAGGTGAGAAGAATTAGCAAATCTCATTCCAAATAGGAT